CTGTACTCCAATAGTACAGGTACGCCTCAAGACTCGGGGAATTTTCTTATTTGATCACAAATGCAAGAATGTCACGGCGGCGGTAGCTGTCCGTCGTGGCGCGGCTCAACCACGTTGTTGGGTCTGAATCGTCACGCACAGCACGCAATAACCAAGGCTTTCCTACGTCTAGCCTGCTCCGAGCCGTACTATTCTTGACACACGCTTCAGGGGTGTTTTATATGTTATTCTTATTGGTCGTAAATCTGCTCTCTTAGGGCTCGGGTTGAAACAGATAAGTCAAAAGCTGATCAGCCACCCCAGTTACTTGATTGTCATACAGCCGCGTAATAAGATGCATATTATGTATCATACTACCTACCTACCTACCTACCTAGTATGTATGATACCTAGTATGTATGATATACTCCGCACCCACACCTAGATTCCCTACGACAGCTCAGTGAGACTCGTTCAACATAATATCTCCGAACTGGCTGGGGAGGGGTGGTATGACGATTGGTCCGCTACGTCAAGTTTGACAACAATACACAATACATCGGCCATCTGCCTTGCCTTTCTTTCTCGCATGCTCGTGAAGGCCTCGCAGGAAAGCTGCCACAAGCTGTGGTCCCTAGGGGCCCCGCCACCCAACCTTTGGCTTACAGCGAGTGGTACGGTATTCTAACCCTTTCTTTTCTCATCTATAGGCATCTATCCTTTCAAAATTTGTGTTATTTTTCTCATGCATCGCGTATAGAGTATCATCAACACGTTTCACGTATTGGATACATATACACCCCGTCTTACTTTATCAATCTCCGTAACATTCCCTACTCACCTTGCTCGGTCAGCATGGGGGCGTGTATCGATCTTTACCATATCGCCTCCCAAGTTCCCTTTTTATTTCACAGCCTATCGTTACTATCGCGCTCGAGGACAGTATTCTTGTTACTCAAACTAGAATACCACTCGGCTACATCTACCCCGAAGTCCTCTGTTATGAGGAAGATACACTTAGTAATGAGGCTGATGTAGGAAGAAACATGAGCAAAGAGAAGAGAAGAAGAAGAAAAGAGAAAAAAAGCAATCCTTCAACAACCCACCTAGATATGTTTGCTTCCAAGACATCCCGCCCAGACATGATGACCCTAGTAAGCAGCTGGAAATAATAGAGAAGGAATTGGTATGCTCACTTGTAACTTATATCGGCGATGAGAACCGTCGTTTATCTCCTACCTCATCCTCCTCTCCTGCCACATCAACGCCTCTCTGGAGCTGAACCTGTCACCCACCCACCACGTACACACACACGATGCATGATGCCGTCTCCTCTGCCGAATAATTTCCCTTTCATAGCCGTACAGTACCGTTGCGCAAACAGCTAGGCGGCCACTAACTAATCCTTTCCTGCCACATCATCCGCTGCCTCTTCACCACTCATAATTCTGATTTTACTTGCCCGTTCCTTGATGCCTATGCGCGTACGTAGCTCATATTCTTCGTCCATGCTGCTGGCCGTGTCTCTCCTTTCCCAATCGAGAAAACACGAGGACACCGATTCTAGCTCGAATATATATAAGGTATTTACATAGCCCATCTTCCACATGGTCTTGAGCGCTAGTTTCTTCCTTGGTCTATATCATACAAGCACATCAAACGCATCAAGCATATTCTTGGCTTCCACACTCTGTTATCGTACAAGGTTTCCTCTACCTAAAGTATCAGCTTATCCCATTACTTTCTACGAGTCTATCCAATCACCATGCCATCTTCACAGCAACAGGCTTCGGGCACACCATGGCAAGACCGGCTGGCAGGTGGGCAAACCTGATCTCACCTAGAAACTTATAAGAGTATAACTAACACGCTTGGCCAGAGGTCTGCCGCGAATACCAGATTCAAGCTCCTCATTTTCAAATCGTATCTGACCGGCGTGGTGAGTCTCTCTCTTCCAATATTCATCGACGCATATAGGTGATAGCTGACCGGGTCTTCCTTGATCGTTAGGCGGTCGTACCGCGTGGTCTAGTATAGTTACCGTTTACGGCAAGCGAATCGAGGCGCGGTATTGGTACGACGGGAGGAACATCACCAATGCTAGGGAAGATGCCGCGGAGGCGGCCTTAACCTGGCTTTCCAACCAAGCAAACTTATCAAACAGCTGGTAGACGGCTCTTCGGGAAAACAAACCGACTACGAACATGTTTGATATTTAAGGGTTCTCCAACCGACATGCGTGGCTCCTATTTTTCGATCGCCTTCCGCATTTGCGCGATTGATTCACCTCGACACACCCTATTCCACCCGACAGCAATATTTGATTTTTGGTTTGGGGTTATGTCTCCTCGCTTTTACGACTTGAACTTCCTGTTCTGTACGATATTGGCAAATCGGAGTTTGGGAAAGGATCTGGCTGCCCCACGGCAAGGACACGAGAAAGAAAGGAAGGGTAAAAAAACGAGGGTTGGGGAGAGCAACTACATGAGCATTCTATGGATTCGGCGCAGGTTCCTCATCATTGATTGGTTTCCAACGGACACAGCTTGGGGGTTTCAGTATTCTTGTCCGCCACGACCATTTTTCAGGTAGCGAGGGCGTGTTTTACACTACGACAGCGGGGGATCATCCCCAGGAAAACCAGGAAAGGGTTTTAAAAACAGGGATTATTCGGGGAGGACCAGGCGCAGAACTTCGGTTTTTTTTGGGGACCCATTTGGTCGTTTCTCGTTTCTCGAGAAAAATACTCGTCGCGAGGGATTGTGTTGGATTTTCTCTCTTACCTCTCTTCGTTTCAACTGTTCCAATGCGACCTTTTGAAAATTATAGCGGAACAGACGGAAAGAGAAAAGCAAAACCTCACCCCCGTGAAACCAACTATCGATAGACACATCGCTCGGCCGATTTTCCATTAGAAATCGTGGACTTACCTATGCCACCTACTAATTACAAGGATGAGATTTTGTTGGGCTCATCTAGCTACCTAGGAAACGGGCCTGAGACATGCGCGAAAGAGCGAGGGAAAGGAAAAGAAAAAGTAAGGGTAATGGGTCGTCTAGAGAGAGGTGGGAGGAAGGGAAGGGAAAGGGGAAAATGGGATAGGATGCGATCACTTGATGAGGAGTAAATGAATGATGTCGATCTCCTAGCTTTCATGTTGTCGTTGCTTTTCCGTTCTTCTTTTGTCAATGGAACCGAGAGGGATAAATACCCGATATGATGTTTAAATGCTTTCCCGATGACGTGATGACAGATCAGATAGACTCATCGAAACATCTTGTATATAGGCGTCGTGCGTGTCAATGTTCCTGCTTACTGTAGTATATATGCGCATGCATGCACTCCTGAAATTCGTCTGATGAAAACAAAATGCGCGATGCTACGCCAGCCAGGGACAAGGCGTAAGCTAGGTTAGTCGCCCTACAACATGGTACTAAATGTGTTGTTACCTTATGAGCCCTATGATCCCCATCTTCGTAGAGTAATCATGAAGTATATAGTATTAATATACTTCATAGCGTGCTATGGTCTTGTGCCGGTGTTCGGGAGGAATACGAGGGTGTAAGCATGGCCGTTCCACTCACATAAACATATCCATTTTTCGATGGGTTTTGGCTGCAGATATCCATTGTCAGCTAGGTAGTGTATGTAGGTATAAGCTGACGATGGAGAAGATACCACGGCATACGACCTCCCGGCTTTAAAGCAAGGTCAGGTGCTCCATTATATTACGCCATCGCGGATCTGGTTTAAAGCCCAACCGGCGAGTAACCTTAGATGTAGCCTCACGAACTGCGACCTAACTCGACCGGTGAGCTCCACAGCGTTATCAGCTCGCATACGGTAACTATCACCTGCAACCCTATAGTCATACGACCGGTTCTCGTCGCGGAAATGGCATCCGAAGGATGGGTAATTCTGAGACATGGTGAGCTCAGAGGCGCCGAGGCGGCGCAGCCCAAGTAAGGCCTTAGGAGTGGTAGGCGTGGTAAAGATTTAAGACATTCATGTCTCATAGTAATGTCCTAGTGTACCTATGCTAGGTAGGTACCTAAACCGGGCGTCTTGAACTTTCGAAGGCGTCCTCCCATAGAGAGACACGTCTCCACCGCACAGGCACCAGCATACATAAGATGGGATGAAGAAGAGGCACTTCCTAAGCGGGTTTCCAAGAACCCCATGCACTGACTCTGCCGCTGCGGGCTGAAATCCTTTCCTCAGGTTGCTGTAATGTATGTACATATAAATACCCGCATAATCGACGTGGACATGGTGGGGTCAAGCCAAGGAACAGGTAGCCCTGTTACAATCCGGTTACCCATCACACGCGTGGGGGAAGTAGGATGGGGGAACGATCTGGAGTGGGTGTGACGGTAAAAAAAAGGGGGAAGATGATGGATGGCTTAGTTGCTTTTAAGTTGATTTCTACTGGAACTGTTCTAGATTTCCTGGAACACGGGAAGAAGGATGTGTTCGGAGAAAGAAAAAAGTAAACAGCGATATATATAAACTAGTGTAAGGAGATAGAACACTATTATGCTTAATTTTCATCTCGCTTTTAAATAAGAATAGGTCATATGCAAGATCGCCCAATTAGAAAAAAATGACTGCAGACGAAAAATGAGATGTCATAAAAAGCCCCTGAGACTCGTATACCTACATATTGGAATAAATGTGGCTTAACTTGAATTATGTGAATATGTGAATATGTGAATATGTGAATATGTGGCGGTGTCTTGCTTTTAAGACGATAAGATAAACCCCTCCATCTACATTGATAAGAGCATAAGTACCTAACGTAAGTGGTCCGTGCTCCGGATTAATTGTGCGCCAGGGATGTTGCAGCTACCGAATCGCATTATTACCTATCAGATAACATTTTTTGCCGTAGCCATCATCATCATCATAGGTATCGACACAAGAATATCGCATTTGGGGACGACGAGGACGAGGAAGTGGCATTGAAAGTAGGAATTGGTTTCACAGTCGATACACCTACTTGCAAAATCAAAACCGGCCTCATGTCTTGCAAGTTGACCCCTTGGGGCGCAGCCGCCGCCGTCCGGAATCTCAGCATACGAACGCGACAAGCACCTACAACCGCCTTCCGAATAGCGTCCCGTCCGGCACAACAGCCAGCATACCAGACGCCCTTCTTAATAGCGAGGAGAGGCTTTACAGATGATACCGACACGAGAATACCACCCCAATCCGAAACCCCACCACCACCAACTCCCGCAGAATATGTCCCCAAGCCGCCCGAGACCTTCGCGCCGAACTTCCTCAACGCCGAGGCCATAGCCGCGCTCGAGAAAGCTGCTGCTAACCAGGCTCTCTACGACGAGGGCGACGAAGGCTTGTTGTTCAACATGCCCGACCGCGTCGGCAAGGGCCAGCAGCTGCAGGACAGATACCATCCTGTAGTAGAGCAGGTCACGAAGCTCTTGATGAAAGACGGGAAGCTAGCTCAAGCGCAGAGGGTACGTCGGTTATTCCGTCCTTCGTTATGAGAAACACGCATGAGGAAGAATATAACATAATAAAAACCAAGCTAACCTCTCCATCAACCCCAAAAAACAGAACATGGCCATGATCCTCAACTACCTACGCACAACCCCCGCGCCCAAAGTCTCCCCCCTCCGCCCCCTCCTCCCCGGCAGCCCCCCCGCCGACCAGCTGCCCCTCAACCCCCTCCTCTACCTAACCCTAGCCATCGACTCCGTCGCGCCCCTGATCCGAATCCGCAGCTTGCGCGGCGCCGCCGGCGGCGGGCAATCGCTCGACCTGCCGCAGCCCATGGCGGCGCGCGCCCGCCGCCGCATAGCCGTCATGTGGATCCTGGACGCGGTGCGCCGCAAGCGGTCCGCCGGCTCCGGCCGCGCCCAGTTCGCCACCCGCTTCGCCCAGGAGCTCGTCGCCGTCGTCGAGGGCAAGTCCACCGTCTGGGATAAGCGCAATAGCATCCACAAGCTGGGCACCGCCGCGCGTGCCAATTTGACGCATCATGCTGTCGTGGGGAAGCGGAGGAAGTAAGTAAGTAGGAGGTAGCTAGCTAGCTAGCTAGCTGGTAGAGAGGGAGAGAGGGGGAAAGAGAGATACGGATGCCGAGACGGTTATTGGCTCGTGGGGGGAAGGGAAGCTACAGCTACCGAGGGAACTGGACCGAATCGAATCGAATCGGAGCGTTCCTGGTGGGATATCGTACCTATAGAAATATGTAGGTAGATGGTCAGCTGTGACACCTTGTACGTACGCATCTATGTATGTATGATATAAATTAAAACTCATGTACAAAGACGATATACACTGCTTACCACACATTCTCCTGATGACATGCCTACCCCGGTGGTAATTGAGTGTACGAACGATATAGCTACATTTCCAGGTGAAGCTTATGGTTCTCTTACCTCAAGTTGAATGTTATTGCTATTGATAAACTTGGATCACATACCGACTTACTACACTACTAATAATGAAGGCTCGATAGACTTAAAAGGATTGTGGAAGAGACCAGACCAAAGAAAATATCAAGAGGAAGTCAATTTTCATCGAAAACTGCCATCTAAGATTAATTTAATTTTTTTCTCGTTGCTGTACTAATTACGTAGCGACTATTCTACCGCTCCCTCCTCCTTCACATTTAGCAGAATATAGCTTCGTCGTATGCCAAAGGGGAATCTTTGCTGCTTCTCATGAGTCTTGTAAACAAGTGCAAAATGAAGACTCGTAACACTGGCAGTCTGCAACTGAACGCAATAAAAAGCAATTCCTTCCTTAGTCCTCAATGCTAGACGCTCAAAGTAGTTCACCCATTTTATTTCTTCCGCATACGCATTATCAAGAATTGCACAAATACCTCGGGGTCGCCCTGGCACTATCTCGAGCCCAGCCCCCTTCCTGGCGTCGATAATGGCGTTCCGGGCACAAGGGCGCTAGGCTTTCTAGACGGCGTCGTTGGCCCGACCGTTGTCGTCCCATCTACCGGTGGGGTATCCGTCCTGGGGACATTGCCATTTGAATTTACTTTAGCTGGGGGCTTGAAGTTAGAGGCGACGCCTTTCGCATAGATCTCCTGTAGCATAGTATCGAGAACGCCCGCCTCGCTGAACTCCTGATACTTGCGGTATAGTTTTAAGGCCGTCCTAGCGTCCTCGATGGAATCGTGCGTGCTCAGCTGAATATCTTCTTTGAGGAGCGTGTGTGCAAGGAACTGCAGGCTGAGTTTCCGAAGGCGCTCCTTAATGAAAAATAGATCGCTCGTGTCAATGACTTGCGCTTTCGGTACGTGAATATTGATGACTCGAAAATCTTGCTTCAAACCGTGGCCCAGAAATTTACACCCAAGGTTCAAGAGAATCCAAATTTTCTTGTACGCAATCTTCAACGGAACAAGGTTGTGTCCTCTCTGCTGTGCCGTTGTTATATCTAAGTCTTCGGGGGTAATCCCGGAGTACGAGGTTAGGTAGTCAACGACTTTCTCCTTTATAGTGATATAGTCATCAATAAACGGCACTCCTTCGTCCATACCGTTACCTCGGACGATGGAATTCCTGGCTAAAGCGTGTACTGTTGGCCGGATAATTTTTGAGTCGCCGTCCGAATGCATCTCGACTTCCGGCTGTGAAATCTTGACAAATTCTGTGTCGATTGCGACAATCGTATCTGGTCCAGCCGGCTCAGTTTGCCGATCCAAAGTCCGATAAGTCTTATCGGCTCGATCAGCTCTGTATATTTATTAGTATAGTTTGCGATTTAACAGGCTGTAGACTTACTGGAGATCTAGATATAATAGCCTAGAATCTAGATTCTGTTTCCAACTGGAATCAAGCTGATTGTTGGCGGATTTTATTTGATACGTAATGACAGAAGGTGTCTTCCATGATGTATTGAATGTAAGTGCCTCCTGAGGAGGGATGGGCTTGACGTGAAAATCGTTAAAAAGGTACCACTGACTTTGGCCGGGGGCCGTCGGCGCAGAATGTGCGACTAGACTCACGTATTAGTTTTTTTCAAATAGCCAGATTCTAAGAATATGGGAACTTACTATTTGTCATGGCTACAAGGTGCGATCTCTGCTGCTGACCACCCTCGATATTGACGGCAAGGCCAGTCAAAGAATATACCGTGATGTTATGGATCCCCCGCTGCAAATGCAGTTTCAAGTCTTCACCCTCGAAGCAGAAGAATTGGCCATTGTCCACTATGACGCCAATCTCTTCTGGCAACCATCCAGGTGTAGCCCAGAGTCTCCGGTGCTCATTGTTGTTAATTGCGGTCGTAAGCATCAATACGCTGGGTATCCTATGTATCGTCTTTCGGGTGGCCAATGTCTGGTACCTATGGCAATTATTACACCAACCTTTGTTGGTAGTCTCCCTCTCTACACTCATCTTCAGCACTTGCGAAAATGTTGTTCCTCGCATTCTTGGGTTCCTGTGTCCGGATTTCTGTGATAATGAGCTTGGATTGTTTGTTTTGTTAGAGGTGAGCTCGACTTACATTTTGAGGGTACATTAATTCGTTCACCATCGTATGGTCAGCTTTCGTAGTTTCGCTCCGACAATTCATGCATCTGATGGAGCTAGTTGCGGATGTTTGAAAGAGCTATAACCGATGGTTAGTAAAGGTTATATTTTAGAAGACATAACCAAGTAGATTTACTTCTTCGAGTGCTCCGGGACGCGGTGATTCCGCGCTATGAGAATGAGGATTTTGAATCATTTGGCTATAGTTCTGAGTCATCTGTCTGAGGAGATATCGAGCCAAGTGCTGGAGCATAACGGTCCGCGACGCATGAGGTTCTTCTTCGAGCAGACCCAACTTGCCCGCTAGTCAAGTTCATCAGTAAACCGTTGGGAGGAATATAGATATAACTACTTACCTTCAGGATGATAACTAAGGGTTTTAGTGAAGTTGGATGCTTGGCAAGCCTCTCCTTCTGCCTTGTAGAGCATGTCGAAGAGAAATCCCAATTCGCAGAGGAGACATAACTCATCTACACAAGCCGTCGCTGCGTGTTGAAGAGCAATATTTCGGATCAATGGGGTATAATGCATCACCTGTAGTAGTGGGTTGGCATAGGCGTTAACAATATGATTCTGTAAACCCGAATACTGCGTTTTGTTGAAATAACTGGTCTTTCTATTAGCATGCGCTGCACAGGGGGGGCATATCAACTTACCCAAAATCGAAATCGTCAATTCCGAATTTACTATACTTTATTTCAATATTTTGATATAGCTCGGGGACCTCAATCTTTAGGCTTTCCAGCTTATTATCTTGTAAAATCTGCGGAATTTCGGGCACAACTTCTTCAGGAGCTGGTGTCCCGGCCGGGGACTTTGCCGCTTCTCTAGCCTTCTCGCTTAGGAACTTCGGTGGTTTTAGAGAGCTTTGGGAATTTTCGTTGTTTCGGGTATCTTCGACTTGATTTCTCCGCAATGGTCGAGTATTCTTACCAAAGTAACCCCATTCTCTCTCCTGGAGCGTTGCCAAGAACTGCGCATCGATCTTAACAGGAGGGGCACCAACTTCTGTGATCATATTGCTTGGCCATGCCGACAGCAGTACTTCTCTATAGTATGGCATGCCGACGGCGCTCAATGGCCTGGTATTCTGTCAGTAAATGAACCCATATAAGTTGGAGTACACTTACGTATCAGGAGAATCAAACTCGATTCGGGGCCCCGTCCCCGTCCCGGAGTCCGCCGTCTCTATCGGAGTAGGAAATTCAGCGAAATGAATCTTGCTCGGCGAGCCCCAGAGGTGGATATAATATTCAGCATCCGCAAGAGCAATCGCTTCCCCTGAAGAAGCAATTTCTATCATTGAAAAATAACTGAGGTTATTTGCTTGACGCACATTGCTAGTGTTAGGGTTCATCAGATCAACCACGTGCATCTGCCCGATCTGTGACATAACAATACTGGTTGTCGACATTCGAGGATGCATTCGCACATAGGCAGCACCGGCCGGGAATGGGATAGGGGACATAGATATCATGTTCTTCAGATCGAACACATTGACGAATGGGTCAGGCATGTAGTTACCCCCGTGTCTCATGGAGTATCCGCAGGTAACGATGAAATCGTGCTGCGCATCCATGTCGTTAATTGCAGCCGTATGCGCGTTCCATATTTTGATGACCTGAAAGCTGACGGGGTCGATTATGTGGACGGCACCGGTAGAGGTCGCGGCGCATATATACCGACTTCTTCTCATGATCGTGTATTTGTGCTCGGTGGGCAACTGGCAAGCGATTAGCAGTGGCGCAATTTTAATTTATACCGATTAATCAACTGTACTTGTTTGGTTATCTCGCCCTTATTAATGTCGATCACAAACATCTTGTCCTGCTCGCCGGCGGCTAGTATCTCGGCAGTGCCCTTCGACGTGAAGCTCATGCACCGTAGTTCCTGCATATCCTCGCTCCTGTGTTTCCTTGGATGAGTATTGACCGAAAGCCTTCCCGAATGAAACCGATGGGGGGAAGGGAACCCACCTAATCGACCACAAGGGTGGACCTCTTCTCAATGCCATATGTACACCGCGGGAGCCCAGAGCTATAACGCCCTTATCGTTAAAGAGTATCTGTCGGACAGGCCCATCTTGGGAACTATGGGTTTTAAAGGATGTGTATGGCTGTAGTTTTGTACCGTAAAATGAGGATACTCGGCCCTGCGATAGCTATCAGCCTCGTTGTAAGACGGAGCATTGGTGGGATATCGTACGTACATATTCGTTGCCAGTCCATAAGAGCTCCTGGCTAGTATCGAAGGCTAAGACAGTGACAGGTGTCGGCATGGCCCGGAGACCGGGTGGTGGGAAAGGTATGCGATGAACCTGTGAACATGGAATAGAGTCAGCCTTGCATCCAACGGAGTAACTCGACGATGTCTGAATCAAACCTAGCCCCTCGAACGTATTTGTCGATTTCGAATTGATCATAAGAAATACTCACCTCGTCCCAATCTCCGTCCATTTTGGCGGATTTGTCATGATCGAACTAGTCGCATTGGAAGAAGATATATTTCACCCGCAGCGTAGACAAATTGAGGGGCGTCGCGTATGTATAAAATATAAAATATGAGAAAGAAGTTGAGATATCCCACTTCCATTTGCTAGGATTAAGTACCTAAGGACTAGGTTAGGATCTACGTTTACACTATTACGTTAGACGGCGTACGTCTGCACAGTATAGATGGAAACACTGTACACAACAGGGATAATACCCAAGGTTTGAATTTATGCACCTAAACGTATAGCACAGGCCCACCCTTACCTCTTCACCTTTAGGTAAGTTTTCAGACAGTGCTCTCACTAAGCTTCATGCCTCAACAATAATTTGTATAATATCTACCTATGTTCTGCAATGCTAGGTAGCATCTTATGGGGGTATTATGTTTATTTGAAGGGCTTATAAGTTCTACCTAGCATCGGTAAGACAGGTACTTACCTAGGTAGGCTACTTAAGGCAATTGTTTGAGTACAGAAAAGCCGTATGAAAAATGTCGTTTACGACTCTCAAAGGAATTAACCAGCTAATCCGAGGCCACACATACGATAAAACATAGGAACGAATTTCTTTAGATTGTTGTATCCTAATTCTTTTTTCATAAGAAAAGACTATCTAATTTCAATTGCACCCCGCCAATGGATGGTGCTTCACCAAAGCGTGCTTACGCCGTGTGCAATTACTCGGTATCCTCGCGTTCGATTTATACAGCCAGCTCTTATTCGTCTGGTTTCGCATCCGGTGTATTTGCGTAGACCGGCCGCGGTTATTATCCCGCGGATGCGTCATTCCCTAAAAATCATGCCAGATGCTCAACTCCCAACTGATGGAAAAAAGAAGACATCGAAAAATGGGGGGATGCTGTGAAGCGTCTCGTTTTTTTCTTTTCTTAAACAACCGGGCCAGCTGCCTTGACGTCGTCTGTAGCTTCTGACTCGTACTTCTTGAAGTTGTCGATGAACAGTCCACCAAGCTTCTTGACTTCCTCGCTAAAGCTGTCTAACCCCGCAGTCCAGGCAGTCTTGGGGTTGAGAAGCTCTGAAGGCACTCCAGGACATGTCTTGGGGACCTGGAGGTTGAATACTTCATATGTCTCATACTCAGCCTTCGCTAACTCGCCTGAGTGAATGGCATCCAAGATTGCACGAGTGTACTTGAGCGGGCAGCGCTTGCCGCCGTGGATATAACCGGCACCGACCCAGCCGGTGTTCAGGAGCCAAGCATTCGCTGAGTGGTGTTCTATCTTGTCTGCTAGCATCTTCGCGTACCTCATAGGGTGCAGAGCAAGGAAGGGCTGAGCAAAGCATGATGAGAAAGTAGCTTCAGGTTCTAATACACCTTCCTCAGTACCAGCCATCTTGGAGGTGTAACCAGAAATGAAGTGGAACATGGTCTGCGCGCTATTAAGCTTTGATATCGGCGGCAATACGCCACGCGCGTCGCAGGTTAACAAGATAATGTTGCTAGGGTGGTTTGTCGACAGACAGGGAATCTTGGCGTTGTTGATATACTCAATAGGATAGGCACTAAAAGTTGTCAGTTTCAGCTTGACCATAACGTGTTGTAAGGAAGTCAACTCACCATCTCGTATTCTCGGTGAGGGTAGCGTCGTCATAGTCGACCTCTCTAGTCTCTTGGTCGAAGACAACATTCTCAAGGACGGAGCCGAAGCGGATAGCGTTGAAAATATCTGGTTCCTTCTCTGCCGAGAGACCGATGCACTTTGCATAGCAACCGCCCTCAATGTTGAAGACGCCGCGCTCGCTCCAGCAGTGCTCGTCGTCACCGATTAAAGCTCGGTGAGGATCGGCAGATAGGGTTGTCTTGCCGGTTCCGGAAAGGCCGAAGAAAAGCGTGACATCGCCTTTCTTGCCTTCGTTTGCAGACGAGTGAAGAGTAAGTACATTGTGCTTAATAGGCATTTCATAGAATAATACGGTGAAAATGCCCTTCTTCATCTCGCCTGCATACTCAGTACCGAGGATGACCATCTCCTTGTCGGCAAAGTTAATGGCGACCGAAGTTCCCGAGGTCATCCCTTCGGTATATCTGTTAGCCGGGAAACTTCCGGCGTTGTAGATCGTGTAGTCGGGGTGGAAATGCTCCAGCTCCTCTCGCGGAGGGCGGATAAGCATGTTGCGCATGAACAAGGCATGGTAGGCACGGGCACAGATAACTCGAACTCGGATTCGGTACTTTTCATCCCAGCCTGCATAACCGTCGACGACATAAATTCTCGATCGGGTGTTCAAGTAGTCGACAGCACGTTCGCGGTTGATTTTCCATACCTAAATCATCCTCATGTTAGCTAATGCCAAGTCGTCTTAGATCCAGATCGTGGTGAGGATAAATTTGGCACGTGAGACGTGATAATCTTGTGGGGCTGAGAATATCCCGGCCTTGTGGAAGTGCGGATGCGGATAGGCGGGGTGCATGTTATTGCCGGATCTGGGCCGAGTTGCCCGGGGTCTGAAGCCAAGATGACGCCAATGACAGGGGTCATCTCCAGCTCAACAGGTCTAGGCCAGGCGCCACGAGACTTCTCGAGAGGTGCGTGATTCAAACTGAATCTGGGCAATCGGAGTAGCAACCAACCAAAAACTCAATATAATTGTTATTAAGGGTTGCTTAGGAAATCTGTGACGCATAGAGGTCGTCATACTCAAACCAAGTAGAGGTTGAGGATAACAACCTCAACGTAGCAAGGTTCGCCTTTAGGAGGAGTGGGGAATCATGGTGAAGAGAGAAACGATGGGAGATGGATGCAGTGTTTGTTGATGGTAATTCAGCGTATAATGACGACAATTATCCTCTTACCTCAGGAGCCATTGGTTTATTAACGGGTCCCCACCTGAAAAGAAGTTAACTATCATCTCATGACGCGTGTGATTGACACGGGAATCCTTACCAGATATCCTTTTCTGATGACGGTTCTTTTACAATCCTCTTATCCGATGGTGACCGACCGGTCTTTGAACCAGAGTAGGCCGTCAACGCACCGCTCGATGCGATGGCCGAGCCCATCTCATACACCTTTAATGTCCCGTTAGTATGTGTTGGATGTTGGTCGCGTGACCTGGTCTAGGAGGTCATCTTACAAGAGCATCTTCGTATAGGGCAGGAACTGAAGGGTTAGGAATCTGTTTATTTCGTCAGTGTGATTTCCAATAGGCATCCTCAATATAGAGACGGCTTACAATGGCAACTCTATCGTAGTCGATGTGTGCCTTCTCATGTAGCTCCTCCTCTAAATTTAATGTTAGTGGGCAAACGAACAAAGGATAGGCGGGTAGGCGGATAGTGCCGAATATTGAGTTTAAACTACTTGACTCGTACCTAGCTCTGTGTGCTCCCTTTCCTGGTGAGGTCTACAAAAAGTAAGTTAGCAAAGAGCTCTCTATTCATTGTGTACCTTGGAATGGGGATACTCACTCAACACCAGTAGGATGAAGGGCTGTTTTGTTGACTTTGTTGTTGGAAATCACTAGAAGAGCAATGTTAGCTCTCCAAGGCTAGGAATTCAGGAATGCCGCATTCTCCTCGCTTTTTTCGAGGTCAACTTACTCTTGTTTTGTTGAAGAAGAGAACGGGAATGACCATTGGTGAGCTGCTGAAACTTTGGACCCTTTACTGTAGGATCAGTGTAGGGAGTAGCAGCTCTGACAACTGGGTCGTTCATGGTTCTTAAGCTGGAGGAATTTCGGAAGATGACACGATGATAGCAGCTAAAGGGACAATAGCAGCCGAAGACAGACGGGAAATATCGATATCTAATTTGATTAAATGGAGTAGTGGACAAAACCCCGGCAATGCTTGTAGACTTAAGGTAACTTTTCGGTCTACTAGCCACGGCACGGACCCGAGGATATATAGGAGAGAAGGAAGATGTGGAGATGGCGAAGTTTGAGCGAGACATTCCACTGGCCAGCAGTTTCGTTGTCATTGATTAGGCACTGAGGCACGAATTCAAACCGGAGCGGGCCACCCTGCCATCATCGGGAAGAATGAGCTGAACAGGACTTTCTCTTTGTTTCCTGTCTCGGTACCCTAGCAAGGATGTTGTGGCGTTGCGTTGCGTAGCGCGTAAGGTAAGCCGTCAGGCCGTGAAAGATCTTGAACGAGGTTGGTTTAGAGGTTTGTTCTAGCAAGCCTGCAAGTCCAGGTGGATCGTGGATCGTGGATCATGGATCGGCATCTAGGAGGTGAAAAGTTGGTGTGTGGTGTCATATGCAATTGACCTTCCTTCTATTCCGTTTTTTCCCATCAGCCTCCCCCAAACTATCAATCCTTGCAACGTCCTGTAATTGACCTGTAACCTATTGCACCTACTGCACCTATCAATATCCCGACTAGGATTATAGCCTGTCGGCCTCAAGTTTACCCATCATTTTTCGTCACCTGTGCATCAAGATCTACATTACATGGTACACTACGGTTCATTGTATTTACCTACTTGACTCGAGTAACTAAGACTTTACCGATGATTCCAGAAAATTATCTTGCCCATATTGTTGTTACTGCAGATTTGTAAAACACCTGAACACCTGCACGAAAAGAAAAATTAAATCAGGGGAAATGGAAGTTGGAGAAATCGGCAAACAATGGCGGGGTACTAGTAGGTACGTACTTCCCCGTCTTTTCGATGGCCCCACATGGAAGCTACATGTAATTAGAAGGGTAGACCCGGGTACATGGGCAAGAGACAAGGTGCCTAAGATACAATTATGATGTACCTTTAAGAGCCTCGGGAACATTGAATTTACATAGGTATGTACCTAGGTACCTATTATACAAGACCTAAATGAAGTAGCACTACGGAATAGAACTAATGCCAGTTAATAAAGAAATGGCATCGGTATAAAACCACTTATACACATACATTAGCGTCAGGATATAAGTCCTAGGTACCGTACTTTTACAGTAAATAAGGACCAGACCGTAGATCTACCGTTTGAGGCTCTATTACTATTCGAATATATAAACGTCTTATAATAATTCCCGTTGTATATACAATTGGTATATTTTTGGTTGGCTATTTAAACGGTTTATATATATACGAATGGTTTTTTTCTTACGAATGGTTTTTTTTTAACCAACGGTCTTTTTGCGGTCCTAGTACGGTCCGGGAAAGTGTAATACTAGGAGGTAATTAAGTAAGGAAGGTGTAATACTAGTAGGTAATCAAGTAAAGAAGTTGCGAATGCCACCTTATATACCCAAGTAATTACAAGCTATACGCGCCTGTATGTAATAGTCTATTTGAATAGTAACCTCGTAGCCGTAGCCGTAGCCGTAAAGCGTTCGAAAGTAATA